GATAACACTTTTGGTTAAATAAATTTTGTAAAATTGTCACCGGTTTCTGTATTTACATCAGGTGGATTTCGACCGTAGATCTGATTAAGTGACTTCGAGTGTGTTTAATTATCTCTATATTTACGATTGAAATTCACACAGTGTATTAACCAGGTGTAGCATTTAAATACTTGTCTGAGAAAAAAACAAAATATATTAAATGAAAATGTTTATTGTTTTGGGGTCACAAAGGGCCACGTCATATAAGCTTTCTAGATGGAACGAGAAGTGATTCCTTTTGGAAGACGTTAAAAATGAATTAATATAATGTTATTTAGGATTGAAATTAAATAATATATGATTTAAGAAAATTTGATACTACTTGATAATATTAGATTTCAAAATTTTAGCTGTTAATGTGATATTATCTTTCTGAATTCAAAACTTCCGTATCCAATTTTTTTTATTAGAAAACAATTCACTAAAATTCATTAATTCAAAAGAATAAGTATATATCTGCTTTGATCTGTATTTCATAATTATGCATAAATTTTATTTTAATTTTTAAAGGAAGAGGTGGCGATCCTCACCCGCGCCCTAGCGGGTGGCGGAGGAACTCCGGCGAGCCTAGGTCAAATGGTGAACGTGTGCGCCACAAACGCAATCTCTCGCGTGATGTTCGGGCGGAGGGTGGTGGGCCACGGTTCCAATGGCGGGGGCGACGAGAAGGCGGAGGAGTTCAAAGGGATGGTGGTGGAGCTAATGGTGTTGGCCGGAGTTTTCAACTTGGGCGATTTCATTCCGCCGCTCGAGGGGTTGGATTTACAAGGAGTGGCCTCAAAGATGAAGAAGCTTCACAAGCGGTTTGATGCATTCTTGAGTGCAATTCTTGATGAGCACAAGATCAACGGCTCTAGTGAAATGCAAGGTAACGTGGATCTATTGAGTACGTTGATTTCTTTCAAAGATGGGAATGATAGTGGAGGGAAACTCACCGACACTGAGATAAAGGCATTGCTTTTGGTACGTATTTTTGAAACTCTCTCTCTCTCTCTCCTAAAACTAACTTTCTCTCTCTCCTAAAACTCAATGTGGTAACTAACTAATTTTGACTTGTACGAAAAAAAGAATGTTTTTTTTCTCATTTACTATACATTATTATGTTCTTTTTTTTTTTTAATTCTTTAATTATTTAACAAGATACTAAAATTGGCATCCAAACATAAGCTTTGATTGCATTGAAATAACATGGTTCAAAACCAAAATGTGAATTAATTATAATAACTTTATTGAACTTATTTAAATGCATTCATCTTGAAAAGAAGTTTTTAAATATCGAGACAGACTTTGGTTAGAAGGGTTGGTATACAACAATTATTATAAAAGTTATAGGATCAAATTACACTTATTAAAATAACTTTAAAATCCCTATGATATTTACAATCATCCCTTAAAACATTGTTAGAAATCTTAACGGAATAATGCATTGGATAAATTATTCCGTTAGAGTTCTAACGGACTATTAGTTTCAGGAAGTAATTGAGATATTATAGAGTCAGGGGGTGTTTAACATATAGTTCCCCCAACATTTCTTAAACCCTTATTTTATTTTATATAAGATTCATAAATTTTCGTATATGGTAAAATCAATGGTCACGCAAAAATTAAATATAGTAACTATAATTACCAATGCCACAAGAACATTAAAATTATTAGGGTTGTGTAATTTACCCTCAAAGTTAAGATTTGAGGAATCAAATTTTGTCGTTGTTCTATTTTTCTTGTTTGAAAATATGAACAAGTTGTTAAATAATTTTGATGGATTTGACATTAAGGGCCCAATATTAATTATGACACTACTACTAGTGCAATTACGGTTGTCTCAATTAATGGAAATCAGTCTCATGTACTTGGGTTGGTTGAATCTTGAAAAGGAAAGAAAGGGAATATATTGAAAATGCGTTTTGCAATGAAATTTAAGATAATGTTTTTTTTTTTTTTTAAATTACGAGAGGGTTATATGCTTATATGAAAGTACAAGGTAGTCAAATACTTATATTGATGCAAACAATATATGATCAAACCAGAAAGGGCTGAATGTTTTTTCCCTTTTTCTTTTTCTTTCTTTCTTTCTGGGTCTTTAATTATTTTGGGCAAATAGCACTTAACTCCCTATGATTGGAGTTTTATGCACACGATCCCTCATATATTTTTTTTAATATAAGCACATAACGACATTGTAGTTTGAACTTTATGCACATAATAATTTCCCTTGTACTTTTAGAATAAACACATAATAACCTCCCTATGGTATTCCACTCGGTAGATAGTCATGTTTATTAGGAAGATAAAATTATTGAAAGTACAAAAAATTTATGTGTTTGCACTAAAAATACAAGGGGGTCATATGCTATTTTGAAAATAAAAGTGGGTCATTTGCACAAAATTAATTTGTGTAGGGGGGTAAATGCAATTTACCGATTTATTGTTGTAGGGCAAATGGGCAATAATAACGCCACGCATAGAGACGAAAATAGTACAAAACAGAGATAAATAATGGCAGAAAACGATAGTTTTGAAATTATTTTCAAACAAACACAACAACTTTCTCCATTTGTCATTATTTTCGTCCGTGTTCGTTAGGTTGATAGTTTTGAAAATTCACATGTATATGGCTAACCAACTTAGAAAAAACCCTCAAGGAAAACCTATGCCGAAATTCTTTCTGTTTTGTTTTTTTTTTCTTGCGGGTTGCATTTTGTTTTGCATGAAATCTTTTTTTTTTTTTTTTTTTTCGGTTAATAGTTAGAGTTGTTAACTATAGATGGAATTTTATGCAAAGTTTTAGTCACGTAGGGAAATTAGATTGAACATATTTATTCAGTTACAATACGAAAAATAGAAAATTAATATGATTTAATTTGAAATGTTTTGAACTTTTTTGAACTTTTTATATGATTAATATATTTAAAAAAACTGGGTTCTTAAAATATATATTTATATAATTTATTTTGTTTTAGTTGTATGCAAAAAAATTTTTTTTTTTTTTGAGAATTCCTTCCAATTTCCATCTCGTTTTTTTTTTCACATTGTACATTAATAGATGTATATTAGACTTAATTTAAGAAAATAATTTGAATTTTAAATGAATAAGTAGATTTTGCATAAACCCCTGTATCATGCAAAAAAGACTTCCACAAAATTCCCATTTATAGTTAATGGTGTTCACTATTATGCAATGAAAAATGAAACACATGGGGGTTTTACGTAAAAAGAGAATACAGTGGGCTTGATGCAGGTTTTCCTTAACACGGGATTTTGTTAATATTCAATAATTTGAATGAAATTTATTGTAGAACTTGTTTGCTGCGGGGACCGACACAACATCAAGCACAGTGGAGTGGGCCATAGCGGAACTTATACGACACCCGAAAATCCTGGCTCAAGCCCAAAAAGAGCTGGACTCAGTAGTCGGCAAGGATCGGCTCGTGACCGAGTCGGACCTAACTCAGTTGTCCTTCCTCCAAGCCGTCATTAAAGAAACATTCCGCCTCCATCCCTCGACCCCGCTCTCCCTGCCGAGGATCTCGGACAAGAGTTGTGAGGTCAACGGATACTTCATCCCAAAGGGTTCGACACTCTTGGTCAACGTTTGGGCCATAGCCCGTGACCCGGACGCATGGTCCGACCCACTAGAGTTTAAGCCCGAACGGTTCCTAATGGGTGGAGAAAAGCCCAATGTCGACGTCAGAGGCAATGATTTTGAAGTGATACCGTTTGGTGCGGGCCGGAGAATTTGTGCCGGAATGAGCTTAGGGTTGAGGATGGTCCAATTGTTGACCGCAACTTTGATCCATGCGTTCGATTTTGAATTGGCTAATGGGCAATTACCCGAGACGCTAAACATGGAGGAAGCGTACGGGTTGACGCTACAACGGGACGAGCCCTTATCGGTGCACCCGAAACCTAGGTTAGCGCCTCATCTTTATAATGAGGCCTAAGTATATGGTTTCAGTTCATTTTTACTTTCTATTCAAATTTTTATATATTTGTTTTTGTGGGTTTTATGGCGCTAATAAAAATGACAGCAATTCCAAATAAAACTATATAGGAGGATTTGCTGTTCAATACGCTCTCTGTGTATTTATGCATAAGTTTTTACTTTGTATTGCTTCCAATTTTAGCAAATGTGTATACAATATTTATTTGTTTTTATGCTAACCATACATACGATATGACTTGTGAGATTCTATACCTGATAAATTAAATACACTATACGGTTTATACCGTAAATCTACATAAATAACTACCCATGAAGCACACATGTATATATATGTGTGTGTTATTATGTGTAGATTAATGGTGTAAAACTACTTGATGTATTTCACCAGATGTAGGTTCTATAAAACCTCATTGAATGTATGATTGTCTAGACATCTCATCATATATATATATATATATATATATATATATATATATATATATATATATATATATATATATATATATATATATATATATATATATTAATTTCTAATTTACTTGAAGATGGTTTGACAAAATAAATATGATTAAACATTTTTCACTTAAAAGTATATTTTTTTCCAATACAAATTGGAACAATTTTTTAGAACTGGCAAGATTCGATTTTTTCTTAACTTTATTATAATATCTGAAAACTAGACTCTCTTATTATTTGTTTGATTTTTTTTTAATGGGGTCCTAAATATTTAAAATTATACGAAACATTTAATGTATGATCTGATTTTAATTTTCAAAAATATACAACTGAGAAGTAATTAAATATCATTTGTGTAAAGTGTAAACTAATGTCCATAATTTTTTGTATATCTATATATCTATATCTATATCTATATCTATTTATACTTTTTTTTAAGGGTAAATTACACACACCCTCTGAGGTATGCTTAAATAACTGTAAGGTCCCTGTGGTATCGATAATTACACTCAGCCCCCTGAAACGTAGTCAGAAACTCTAAGGGCTATTTTGGTTCGTGTGATGGGAGTGGATGGGATTCCAAATCCAACTCTTGCAAACACTGTACGGATAGATGCTAAATATTCGGATCTCGTATTTGGTATGTTGGATTCGGTGCATGTGGATAGAACCAGATTATATCAATCTTCTATTAGGCTCGACGGATTGATTATTTTACCACATTATTTGACGTTTATACCCCTATGAATTGTATTTATTAATTCATCTCCCCCATCTTCCCCATTACACTCATTGATTCACCTCTCTCATTCAGTTAGAACATGCATAACTTTTTTTCCCCATCCTTAGTTGTGTTCTTCGAAAATCAGATTGGAAATTTTCGAACTCCAAAATCCAAATCAGTATAATTGAATATATTTTTATGATTATGATAGTTTGAAATTTTTATTCTCTGCATTTATTTTATTTCGCTCAGTTTCAAATGAAAGTGGTTATTAATTAAATTTAAGAATTCCATATTCTTCATCTTTGGATATATTGGCTATATTAATAATGTATGGTGTCAAGTGAAATAACATAATTATTAAATAGAAAAGAATAAGTAAACCAAATGTAAAAAAAATGGTAAAGTATAATGAATTAATAAATAAATTTAAATAGAACATTTCATTCAACAACATAAGACCGAAGCATCAAAATGAAACACAATAAAGTTGAACACATAAGGCTTTGAAATTTAAAGAAACAGAATCAAACACACAAAATACATAGTCCATGAAACATAACTCAACGATTAGTAACATCGGAAAGACCTTCCGTCTCGTCTGTAATAGTCTCATCCGAGTCCACTTCCGTTTCATCACCAATCGGCGCAATCACACAAACGACATTTCGATCGACAAATTGCAAGTATGCCATGTCATTGTTGTCTTCCATATATTCGTCCTTATGATTGTGCTCGGACATATCTTCGTCGTCAACCATGATTGGATCGTTGATGTCATAGCCTTGGCCACCATAAAATTAAATTGAACCTGCTTGTTTCTCGTCAAACACCATTTCACAAATTATTTTACTTCGTCAGTGGTGAAGATTTCTAACCTGGTCTAGTAGCCTACCTTGCATATTACAGAATGTTCCCCTATTTGTTAAGTTATTACGACGGCGACGAGTTCTAATCAAGCGTGTGAGTTGTGTGAACATGAGGATTAATTTCATTTGTATGAGTTGTGTGAACATGAGAATGAGCAATTTCATCTGTCAATCACTTCGTCCATTGCTAACATTAGAAATTGTTGTTCACCATTAGTAACGACTATAAATTGTACTACAAAATCCCCAAAAACAAATAAGGCAAATAAAATAAATTATAGAATGAGATTCAAGGTTTATCTGCCAACCAACATGAACAAATTATCACATATTTTAGTTGAATGATGCAACCTCACAAGCAACCCAATATTATCCCACTGCAATTCCAACTGAATTAAATCAAAATATTCCCAATTATATCGTGCTACTTTCATAAAACAAATTGAGAATTCAGTGGGCTGTGTAAAAGCAGTAGTAAAACAAAATTAGATACATATCATAACAATGGGAAAAAAAATGTACACAATTTATGAAACGATATATGGCAGAGAAGAGAGAATCGGAAGTCGCTATGGAGAGAAGAAGCTAGGGCTCCAGTGAGATGCGAAAATTGGGGAAATAATGCATATATATAACATGTACAATTTTCCTCAAAAAGTGACTTTGAGGGCAATAGCGTAATAGCGCTTAACGAGTTAAAGGGAGAAAATATCGGATTACCTGATCACACCTCCACCGGTAGGACCTGGGATCATGTAACTGGTGGATTTGAACCCGGGCCCAAGATCTATCCCGGATCCGGTTGTAACCAAACAAAGCAAAGATCAGCCCATATTAGAAGATCAATCAGGTTGGATCCGTCCAACCAAAAATGCCCTAATGGGATAATGAATTGAATACGTTATTCCGATAGGGTTCTAACGGACTATTG